ACACTAGTCACTAAAACTCCGCTATTGCAATTTTCTGATATCACCTGAGGTCCATAGATTAGTTTACGTCCGATCATGGCCACCTAGATGCAATTTTAAAAGTGACTCTGAAAAAATCAAGTAGGCTGAAAAACTTCCGGAAATGTCAGTTTCTGATCCAGAATTGTCTCAGAAATCCAAAAATGTTACAATATACAGGGTGTTCCATTTAAAAATTCAGAACCGGAGCCATTTCCGCTGAAACCGGAAGTGACCGGAAAGTGAAAAATATGTGAAAACATTCCTCTCCACATACCATTCAACTATACCAAATCTCATTTCAATTCTCCTAATAGTCTAGAAATTATGACTTGTCTAATAGATTCGTTGACACCCGGTATAAAACTGATATAAAACTAAGCGAACAATCATTGGCCATGAATCATTCGAAGCGAAACGAACGGAATATTCAATTATGATATCACAAAATTCCTATTCCTGATCCGATTGCAAGAAACATATTGCTCATGACACCATTTTTCATTTAAATAGACAGTCGGTGATATGGCGTGATAGCTAGATATATTCTTCAACGACCTTCCACTGCTTCGCACGGCTGCAATTCATAGAATTTCGTTTAAGGGGTACAGGACATCTCCTCGAGAGAATGTACAATGTGGCTTAAGTACTGTGGGCCTAAACTCGCCATCCCTACTCTACAGTCAGACAAGTCAATTTGTTTTGAATTGATCCATTACATGCAGAGAAACAAATATTTTCAAATATTATCAAAGGCGTTGTTTATAACGCAGGAATTACAATGCTGGAGTTTGTCGCTGGTTTTTTATTATCATAGGTGGACGTGGCTTGAATCCTCTCAATTGGATTACAGGACCTTGTTTGTAAATAATTAGAGGCAAGTAGCCAGATTTCATTGTTCATTACCTCTTCTTTTCTTCTGAAAATATCCTTACGTTTTTGAATCTCCATTACCTCTCTATATACTCTTGGATAGAGATATGGCTCCAATCTGGACCTAACCACAGCTACAAGGAATCTGGTATACCTCGGATGTTGCTGCAGGTTCTCTGGGTTCCTTAACTGACCTTGGGCTTTCACTGATAATTTTCGTTGGCCTCAATACTGGTTTCATTTCATGTTTTTCCAAAATTCTCCCAATTCAGTCTGTAATATTTTCAACAATCGTAGACAAAGCGTCAAATTGGGAAATCAATTATCTGCAGCTAGAAATGTCATCTTGGGAGTACCTCAGGGCTCAGTTCTGGGACCACTTTTTTTCACACTTTATANTCGATTTTGAACTGAGAGAGAGGCAAGTTTAAGTTTTAGTTGAAATCTGTTAAGTAAAAAAGCGTTTGAAAAGCTGGATTGTGAAAATGGAAGGTGTTAAAAAGAGCCTAAGAATTGAATTTAATCAATTCAATGCAGAGTAGTTGACACTGGAAGTCACAGCATTCTGAAAATGACCTCTGACTTTTTGCCTCCCACTGTTAACTACGAACTGCCTTATAAAGTACTATTCGCGAGTAGAGAGGACTGGATCCTCTGGGAGAAGGAAATACTAAGAGCCAATAGTTGTTGGTTCACAGATGGATCAAAAACACCTTCAGGTTCTGGTGCAGGTGTTTTTAGTCGCAAACCCATGACAGAGTTATCTACCTACCTAGGAACTTATGCGACTGTATTTCAAGCGGAAATTTACGCTATTGAATTGTTTGCGGAGAGATTGGATGAATCCAACCTCACTAACAAGTCAATAAAAATATTCTCGGACAGTCAAGCGGCGTTGGAAGTTTTTGGCTTCTACCGAGCAACGTCTAAATTGGTAGCAAATTGCCTAAATAGACTCTCCTCGATAGGAAGACTCAACAGATTGTCTCTGGTTAGGATTCCTGGTCATACTGGCCTGGAAAGTCATGAGGCTGCTGACTCCCTTGCAAAGGAGGGTGGCGCAAGCAGCTTCATCGGACCAGAACTTGTCACTGGCATCGATTTGGGCTTTGGCAGACAAAAATTGAACACCTGGATGGCAAGAAGACTTATGGACTTTTGGCAGAATCTTCCAGGATTGGCTCACACAGCCCTTCTTACAGGCCACTGTGATTTAAATCATCATATACAGAGACTCGGACTGTCGGAAGACGGTGTGTGTCGACTCTGTTTGGAAAATGATGAAACAGCACAGCACATACTTTGTGCCTGCCCCGCTGGGAACTGAATCAGGTTTAAAGAGTTCGGCAGAGCTGTGCCCTCACCATCTGGCCTGAAAGACTACTCACCATACAAACTAATCGGCTTCGTTGAAAAGCTGGGTTTATTTGGTCACTTTGGACATAACCTAAGAGCCTTCGAATTGAATATAATGTTAATATTGTGATCATCGGTTCGAAACGTCACTTTTCTGAGTAGGTACGAAAGGACTTTATGCAAGAGAACATTATGATAGAGACAGTCAACCTGCAGTTTTCTCCAATTCTCCATATTTAGCCACCAAATTTTCATGAGCTTATGAAATATTCTGTTTCTTCTTCTTATTCCATATATGTCTCAAACAAAAACTCTGACCTTTCTGAATGTTTCGTTAATTATGACTCGTCAGATTCAGCTCATAGTAAGTATCTGCAGAATTCAATTGTGCTAGTACTAAGCTCTCAGACCACGCTTTTTTAAATTCTATTGACAGGCAGTGTCTACTACCATATTTTAGGGAGGCAAGTCTCGCTGAATGAGTTTGTTGGTATGTTTTTCAAACCTCATATGAGGATCGAATAACACTCCAAGGTTCCTGGTTTCGTCAACAACATCAAGTGTATCTACATTTATATTTTCTGAATCCGAATCCTTTATTTCGTTTCTGGTACGATATCTACCATAAACAAAATACTTCGTAAACACAAAGAGAGCATAGAACATACCTGAACAATGAATGCTTGTGTCGTAGTGTTCGATATTTGGGTGTCTTAATTTACTTTACAGTGCGAGTTTTGAAAAATTATAATATTGAGTAGATGAATTCGAAAATGATTATGAGAATTATTTCATATTAATTAGTGATTGAATTAATGAGAAACAGACAATACGAAAGAATAAGTAATAAGTCATAAGTAATACAGTAATAGAGGAGTGTGTATCAGTTGAAAATTAAATTTAGTGTATTAATCCAGTCATTTAAGCTTAAATTAGGTAAGAATCTCGGAATTTGAGAAACCCAGCTGTAAGTCTGTAAATACTTGTATATTGACACCCTAAAAGTTGTCTCAAAACCTACATATGGTAGGGTGTCAGCAACTATTAAATTTCAAGGTCAATAGTCACAAAAATCGGTTTTTTGCGCTTTTTTTGGAAATATCTCATTTCCTATGGGTTTTTTGCTATTTGTATT